CAGGACATGTTTGAGGACAGCAGGACATGTATGAGGACAGCAGGACAGTGGTGAGATGAGCTGTATGAGTGACAGATGGCTTCAAGGTGGAGGTGGGAGTTCATCAAGGATCAGCTCTGAGCCCCTTCTTGTTTGCTCTGGTGATGGACCGACTAACAGATGAGGTCAGGTAGGCATCCCCATGGACTGATGTTTTTAGATGACGTTGTGATCTGTGGTGAGAACAGGGAACAGGTGGAAGAGAACTTGGAGAGGTGGAGATATGCACTTGAAAGAAGAGGAATGAAAGTCAGCCGTAGTGAGACAGAGTCCATGTGTGAATGAGAGGGAGGAGGTGGAACAGTGAGGCTACAAGGAGCAGAGGTCACAAAGGTGCAGGACTTCAAGGACTTGGGGTCCTCTGTCCAGGTACATGGGGAGTGTGGTGAAGAGGTGAAGAAGAGAGTCCAGGCAGGATGGAGTGATGGAGAAAAGTTTCAGGAGTGATTTGAGACAAAAGGGTGTCAGCAAAGGTCAAAGGAAAAGTTTACAAGACAGTGGTGAGACCAGCTCTGTTGTATGGTCTGGAGACAGAGACATGGACAAAAAGACAGGAGACAGAACTGGAAGTGTCAGAAATGAAGATGTTGAGGTTCTCCTTAGGAGAGACAAGAATGGAGAAGATCAGGAATGAGATCTTCAGAGGTACAGCACAGGTTGAACACCTGGGAGATGAAGTTAGGTAAACGTCAAGGTTTCTTTGTCATTTGCATCACATGTGATGGAACAAAATTGTGCACACAGGGTCACAGTTACATCCAACAAAAGTATAAACTGTAAATAAAAACTAATAAGATCTTAAGATATAAACTAAGAATACACTAAGCACTAGTTGTACAAAAACAATACACCTAACAACAGCACGAACATGAATCTGTGTGAGGAGATGAGGACGAATGAACACAGCAGCATGAAATAAATCAGCAGCACATCAACAATCACGTGGTGTTACAGTAATTCTCCTGGTTAGAGATTCATGAGTCTAACAGCCTCAGGGTAGAAGCTGTTCCTCAGTCTAGTGGTTCTACACTTAATGCTCCTCAACCTCCTTCCTGAGAGGAGCAGGACAAAAAGTGTGTGTGCTGGGTGAGTGTGGTCCTTCATGATGCAGGTGGCCCTCTTCCTGCATCTGGAGGTGTAGATGTCTGTGATGGTGGGGAGACTGACTCCAACATCTTCTGTGCAGCCTTCACCACTCTCTGCAAAGCTTTTCTTTCTGCAGCTGTGCAGCCTCCATGCTACATGTTGATGCTGGAGCACAGGATGCTCTCCACTGCACACCTGTAGAAGGAGGTGAGGACTGAGCTTCCAGACCAGCTCGTCTCAGCCGCCTGAGGAAGTAGAGTCTCTGATGAGCTTTCTTGATCAGGCTGGTGGTGTTGTTGCTCCAGCTGAGGTTGTTGTTCAGGTGCACACTTGTAGCTGGAGACCACTTCCACCGCAGATCCTCTTATAGTTGGGGGGGGGTAGGTGTGTTTGTTCCTTCTGAAGTCCACAATCATCTCCTTCATCTTCTTCACATTGATGTGAAGGTTATTCTTCCTGCACCAGCTCTCCAGGTGTTCCACCTCCTGCCTGTAGCTGGACTCATCATTGTTTGTGATGCATCCCACCACCGCTGTATCATCTGCAAACTTTACAATGTGACAGCCTGGATGGGTAGCTGCACAATCATATTCATTCAACCTTTATTTATACAGGTTGGTCCCAATGAGTCTCTGGGACTCATTTACAAAAGAGACCTGATTATTCAAATGTGAGCAGAGTGAACTGGAGGGGGCTCAACACACAGCCCTGAGGAGAGCCAGTGCTGAGGGTTATGGTGGAGGAGGAGAAGTTGTGGATCCTCACAGACTGAGGTCTGTTTGTTAAGAAGTCTAGTACCCAGTTGCAAATGGAGGGGCTTAGTCCTAGTGTGAGTAGTTTGTCCATCAGGGTTTTGGGGATCATGGTGTTGAAGACAGACATGAAGTCCACAAAGAACATACATAGGAGTCGTCCTGCTCCAGGTGGGTGAGAGCAGTGTGGACCACAGAGCAGATGGTGTCTTCTGTTGATTGAGTCTTGCGGTATGTGTACTGGTGGGAGGCCAGACTGAGATGGTTTGGACATGTCCAGAGGAGGGACAGTGGTTATACTGGTAAAAAGATGTTATAAATGCAGCTGCCAGAAAAAAAGACAAAGGATATATGGATACATTTAGAGAGGACATGGAGGTAGTTGGAGTGAGGACAGAGGACAGAGAGAGATGGAGGAGCTGTGGCGACCCCTGAAGAGGGAACAGATGAAAGAAGAAGAAGAAAAAAGAACTTTGGAACGAGAATTGCGTCGACGAAAGAAAAATGTATCACATAATGCTTCATTAACATCCTCACAATAAATACCATGAACACGTCTGTATTTTCTTCCACTTATAAACCAGTAAATTTAGTTTATGTGATTTAATATTTATAACGATATATTTGAAGATTTTTCAGATGCTTAAAATTGTGTTTTTGAGAAAGTTAAGAGGTGACAGTTAATGTGCTGTTTTACGTCTTCATTGTCATAAAAACGTGTTTTATCCAAAGCAAAGCACCGTACGGTACATGTCAACAAGCTCAAAGAGAAAAGGTTGACTCAATGAATCTGAACACGTTCATGTTCAGGTTGCTGTTGTTGTTGTTGTTAGGTAAACAACAACAACAACATACTCCTCATAAGAAAGTCAAAGCTGAATGTAAGTTATTCAGCTCATGTGACATCACAGGAGTTCACTGTTCTTTATAGACAGTTTAATAATAAGCACGTCTAATATTTTCTTTGTTGATGTAACTGCACCCACGTGTTGCATTAATCGGTCTAACTTTGTTTCCTCTTCCTGTTTGTCCTCAGCAGAAGGAGCTGCCTCTGCCTCGGAAAAGTAGCAGGTAAGTTCAGAGTTATTCTTGTTTTCAGGTACACGTCGAGCAACATGCTTTTTAGTTTCAGTTTGTGTATTTCTGAATAATTTATGTAACTAGTTGGACACGTGGCTGTGACGTGAATCAGAACTTTGTTGTGGTCCAGACTTCTACAGACTGAAGGAAACTCTTCTGGGCAGGAAATGAAAGAACAGCAGGATTTATTACGACCCCCTCGCTCCAAAATGTGAGGACGAGGTGTGAAGGATTAGAAAAACAAAAGAGTTTTTAAATTCCCACACAACGTCTCAAATGTTACACTCATTAAAATATAAAAAGATGATGAACGTTGTACAGATACTGTAAGAAGAGTGGTTCTGCATCTTTTCAAAACTCTGATCTACCAAAGTTCAGGTTTTGAAAACTTTGGACATAAAATCTGAAATTTTCTAAAATGATTCCTAAACGCAGAGTCCAGTTTCCCAGCTCTCCTCTGATCCTCAGTCCAGCTCAGATCTAAATACTAAATGAATAATTGATGTTTCTTCCTGTGAACTCTGTTTTCTGACCTCGGCTGTCAAACGTTACTGAACCGTCTCTGACAGGTTTGTTTTCTGCACGCAGCAGATTATTTATTGTGGATTTTGTCTTTTATTCAACGTTGCACCAAATTCTCTAAATGTTCAAACGGTGGAACACTTTTCACTTGCTTTTGTATAGTAATTTTGTTTGGAATATATTTTGGGGACAAGGGGCAGATATTATAAGAATTCATTCTTCTTCTGCTGCCTTTCATTTTATTTCGGTGATTGTATATCTTTTTTCATTTCTTTAAATTGTATTATATTTGTTGTTTGGATGAAATGAAATGAATAAATAAAACATACATACATACATACATACTTTTCATAATCTCTTCAGGTTCTTTATGGTTTTGTCTTCAAATTAATTCTTAAATTGTTGAATAACGTGTAATCACACAAACGCACAAAATGATAAACTCCACCTCTTATTTCAGGTTTTATATATTATATATATTAAAATGACATCTGTTATTTTCACTGTGACTTCTGTTCCTTCTGAAGTCCACGATCATCTCCTTCGTCTTCTTCACGTTGATGTGAAGGTTCTTCTTTTTGCACCAGCTCTCCAGGTGTTCCACCTCTTGCCTGTAGCTGGACTCATCATTGTTTGTGATGCATCCCACCACCACTGTATCATCTGCAAACTTTACAATGCGACAGCCTGGATGGGTCGCTGCACAATCATGTGAGCAGAGTGAACAGGAGGGGGCTCAGCACACATCCCTGAGGAGAGCCAGTGTTGACGGTTATGGTGGAGGAGGAGAAGTTGTGGATCCTCACTAACTGTGGTCTGTTTGTTAAGAAGTCCATGACCCAGTTGCAGATGGAGGGGCTTAGTCCTAGTTTGAGTAGTTTGTCCATCAGGGTTTGGGGGATCATGGTGTTGAAGGCAGACGTGAAGTCCACAAAGAGCATACGGACGTAGGAGTTCTTCTGCTCCAGGTGGGTGAGCGCAGTGTGGACCACAGAGGAGATGGCGTCTTCTGTTGATCGGTTCTCGTGGTATGTGTACTAGTGAGGGTCCTCGTTGATGTTGATGGTTGTTTTGATGTGAGTCATGACCAGTTTTTCAAAGCATTTAGCGACTATCGGGGTGAGGGCCACTGGCCGATAGTCATTCAGACCAGTCACTGTAGAGTTCTTTGGGACTGGGATGGTGGTGGCAGTCTTCAGGCAGGTGGGAACTGTCTCCAGGGTAAGTGAGGTGTTAAAGATGTCTGCCAGCACCTCACAGAGCTGATCAGCACATTCCTTCAACACTTTTCCGGGGATGTTGTCTGGGCCAGTTGCTTTGTGCGGATTAATCCTCCTGAAGGTACTCCTTACTTCTGCTGAGGTCACGCTGAGATGCTCTTCATC